CAACAACAACAACAATAACATCGATACCGATGCAAAACTTTCTACCTTGACCGTATACATGAATTATTATTAGTAATGGTGGGAAGGCCACGAGGCCCAGGATTAGCAGAAATATCACGCTCCCAAAAGGAGGTGCAACCCATGCAGACCGGAGGGCTCACGCACATTCACAATCATCCAAAGGTATTAAACAACTATAAACTGTCTTTTCAGACAGCTACCATGGTGGTGACATTTCTAATCGGTAGTTTAAAATTTCTTGAGTACAGTATCTACTCGCCTTGCAGAGTTGTTTTGGAGGAAAGTGATCAAATGCTGAACCACGACAACCACTTTTTGGAAATGAATAACTGCTACCAAACAGAACATAGGTCTTGCTGTTCTCGGTGAAAACGAATGAATTCAAAGGTTGGCGGCGAACGGATGGACGCAGCACGCAAACATGAACACCATCATTTGCTCCAATTAAGCCCATAACACTTCTGCAGTAGACCAGAAACCTCTCCCAACACAGTTTGAAAAATTACAAAAAGGATCATCTAATTGTGCTCATTTTCTAAAACAACCAGAAATGATTTTGATATAACAATGTAACAAAGACAAGTAGAGGCAGCAACAAAATGCCCATTTGTACATATATTGGACATTTAAATAGTACTCAAACACTGATTACATTTTAAAAAAGGGAAAAGTGAAAGTAGGCCCCAGAAGACAGGCACGAACAATCTGTTAGTGCCTATGATAGGCGCAAGGAAAGAGGGGAAAGTAAAGGAACCGTCCACGAGGAAGACAGAGGTTTCTCTCATGCAGTGGTGGAAAGGGGAAGGTGGTCGCGACGTGACCAGCGCCAACGGCAACAGATGAGGGCAGCGAGAACGGCCAATGCCGCCGAGCAGCACACGCAAATCACCCCGACTAAAATCATGTCGGTCGTGCTGAAGGTGTCCGCGCCCAGGTTCATACTTAAAATTGTGATTACACAGGTCATAGAGATGGTAACAAAGCGCTTCTTGTGGAAATTAGATACAGCAACGATGTGACAAAGTGTCAGATGCAAGCCAACAAAAATTCATTAGTCATACAATCTAACTGTGTGCCGAGAGATCAAGAAACCAGCGTATTGATAAAGTGTAACTTCTTACCCAAGGTTTACATTTGTCGCACCGTGCAAACGCATTTACATTCTCTCGTTGTTATAAATAGCAGAGCAAAATAAGTCTAAACTAAGGGTGCGGGAATGATTTGTTCAAACTAGGATGAGCAAAATACTTCGGATCGCTGCGAGAGACTCGGTGTAACCCGGTATAAGCACATTCCACAAAGCTTTGATGCAGCTAACCCTCGTTCAAATAACGCCTTTCTGGTGTTCGGCTTCCTCAGCCATTACTGTTCGTTTTGTGAGCTTGGAAAAAACTATCCTCGCGGAAGCAGGCATTAAGTGAAATCATATGTAAAGAATACGTAAGTGCAAGCCTCAAAGTATCATAAATAACATGGACCTTTTAAACAAACAAAGAAACCCGAATAAAACAGCCTGTAAGGTGGAAGGATTCAAAAGCAAAACAATTTATTAAGGGGGACGTGTGCAATGCAGAATTTGTGTTAGAATTTGTGTTACTTATGCAACTCAATGTCAACTTTGTGATCATTAGTTAAGTGCCGATTGTTCCAGTCAAACAAATTCAGCAGAGACAAGAGCTGAAACGAAAGAAATGAAAGGGTGTCTCCAATCAAAATAGGCAACCACTGCATTCGGCTCACTATAAAAGTCACCACATCATCAAGCACAACACGTGATTCTGCTCGTTGAAGACCCCAATAAATAAAGAGAGACGGAGATAGCGTTTTAAACAAGTCGCGATATCACGTTTCATGATGAGCTAATGCTTAAACAATTTAATTTCAAGAGACCTAATGAGAGATCAACTCTCGTCATCAAAGCTGAAAAGTCGGCACTTGGCACGGATACTGAAGTTTACCAGAGCGAAACATTCAGCACACCGGAAACGGAGAAAGGCACCAACAAACTCGATTAACAAGGACATGCTTACGTCATTGGCTGATGTCAGACAATTTCTCATGAAGTCTTCGTGAATTTATGAAGTAGAAAGCACGTAGGTGTTTGGGACTTTAAATTTATTTAAAAGATTCATATGGCAAGTTGGTCATGAAAAATTTTTTCCACTGTGCATGGCCTACTGAGGAAGTAGCAGTGGATTTAGGCAATCTTCACAGATATTGGAGATAGCAGTAACCAAAGTCTCAATAAATAAAAACGCGTTTACACAGATTCATGAACAAAGAAGCTGAGGCACTTCCATGCTATTCAACTCTCTTGGGATTATGTATTAAGTTTTTGATTCCTTTGAAGTCGGCTGCTTAAAAGTAATTTTCAAAACAAAACAGATTAATTTCGAATTATGAGGGCTAAACACCAACCATACTCTTAACACGGTAAACAACCATCCAATTCATACGAAGGCGAAACAAATCCCCAATGTCACTTGACTATTGGTCAGGCTAAGCATACACAATTTTTTTTCTTAATTTAAAGTAAGAGATGTCCTAAAGATCATAATTCATTCCAATCACGCATTCATCGACCTTTGATTTGGCTTTTGATCCACCGCACCTGAGTCAAAACTTCGCGAGAGTCACTGAGTGATTTAACTTTAACAATTATTGAACAAGTACCAACACAACTCACTGAGATATGGCCTCGAATGACACACATACACCATCCCATCGCCAAGACGAGGGTCTGTATTGGTGAACAAGGTAAGCCAGAAGTTCTTCAGCCTTGTCCGGCGTCGCAGAGAATTTGTCCATTGCTACTTTTCGTCGTGCAGCCTCAGACCAACAAGCGCGACACTGTTCCGGAGAGGGGAAGACTATTTTTGGGGCCAGAGGATCCTCCGATGGATGACCCGAAAGACGCTTATTGACCATATTGTGCGCAGTGTTCAGCCAAAGTACTTCGTCGCGGGCCGACTTGGGGGCCGCAGGGAGGGTGGCAGGGTCGGGCACTTCCAGAGGGAAAGGAGGATCATCACCTGGACGGTCAGGGTAGACGCTCTCACCCTCTAAACGTACGTTTGAAGTCATTTTGGCAAAGTGGAAAGCGCAGTACCCGCAGCTGAAGAAGCGCGGAACGAAGCGATTCAGGGCATGCGCAATTGGTGCAGTTCCGTCTATAAGGGTAAATATACCCTTAATTATTTCAAGTCTGTTCACTAGCACATTCACATTCTTCATCTCATCTTAGAGTGAAGCTGCCAAGGTTGACGATATGCAAAAGCGGACACGTCCCAAAAGGCTTCACTTAATATTTACGGGTTTTAGTCTTGCCTTCCTACCGAGCAACGTTTCCAATTGGTCAGAAGCCTTCACTACACAAATTCAGCTGGAGTAAAACGTTTTTTGCAGGGCAGAATGCGTACTTGTAGAGGACGCTCCCCTTTGGGTCAAAATATTCACACATTGCATTCTGAAGACTTAGTCATGGGTTTGGCTGCTGGCCAGCATCCAAGTGGTAACGATCAAACCGATTAGGAAACAGGGTTCCAAAAGTATAGCGTGGGCGGATGAAAGGTGTAGTGTTACGATTTCCTCAGCAGTGTGAGAGGCACTCCTTTTCGCGTATTGTACCAAGAAAAACAAATCATCACCAAAATTAGGTTCGCTAAAATAGTTGTATAGAAACATATAAACCTAATAAAGTGATCCGCTAACATAAATGTAGTGTATAGGCCTTTGCTGCATCCAAATTTCAACATTTATTGACAAAGGTAGCTTTGGAATTGCAAAGACCTACCCGACTTTTCGCCTTTGATATACCTATTCACTGTCATGGCATGGAACATGATCCACAAACCGCAAGGATAGCCTCGTAGGTAAGGCTTAGAGCCACGGCAAGCAATGTATTGGACCTTGTCCGTCGAGAGCTAAAAGAAATCGTGCAAAGAGCACTCTTCATTGTTTGTTTTGAAAACAATAACGCTAAATGTAACTTCTCGTACGAGATAAACAAGAAAGTAATAAAACTGGATGTACTGAGCTCTCTATCAAATACTCAATGAATAATGCGTTAAATGGGCCTACCGTCATTCCAGTCATTAGGCCCAGCCACTCTTGCCTTTGAATTTCCGGCTTTTCATAAACCTCTCTCCTGAGGTATGCGATTTCGTTATTGTACTGTTGTCCCAAATCTAAATACTATGGATAAAAAAGGGAAATGAAGTGCAGGAAATACATTCAAAGACCGTAGTTTAAATGATGGAACCAATTATTTGACCATAAACAGACTACCATTCACATCCACGCAAAGGATCAACTCATGTTGCGCTTCAAAGGTTGGCGCACATATTGGCTCTATTCAATTCTGGGCACACTACACAGTCGCCTTTGTGGGAACATTGAAAGTTGTGCGTGCGATCCACCGCCCACGCATTGGTGCATGCAGCACAAGAAGATGGCTGATTCACCACGACCTTCCTTCCTCTGAAGCATCACGGGCACACAAACGCATCATTCACAATTAACAATCATGATGCTTGCTTAATGGGCACCCACAATGGCAACGGAAATGCCACTCCATGTGATAAAGGCAAGTAATTAGATGGATTTTCATCAAAAGCTGCGCGAATGATAATTCAACGAAAACCGAAATAGGAAGGATTGCAATTCTAGTAGCATTTAAAAGAACTTGAGTGTAACTTATGGCAATGCTTAGAGGCTATATCTATTTAAGCACAGTTAACAGTCAGAATCTTGTAACAGGCAAAAATTAAGAAGTGCTTTCATCGACATGGGAGCCGTAAGCCTACCTTTGACAGTACGGTAAGAAATTCCTTCAAGGCATCAAGATCAGCGCCTTTGATTACTTTCTTCCTTCCAACATCGTGAATGAGGAGATTTTGGAGGGATGAAATGACGTCGGCGGCGTAAACAGGCATCGAAAATGTAAGAGGATTCACTTTATTTTCGGGGCTGCTAAAAGCATTCGAAATGACCATGGTTAAGTGAAGAAGAAACATCCATTCCAATCAAAACGCATTGCAGAGACTTTTAGATTTACCAAAGCAACTGAATGTCGGATTAAGTATCCCAAACACTTCAAAACTTAATCCAAAATCAACATTTATTTTTCGATCTGCTTCCATTTGCTAGTGCATAGACGAGAAATGACTTCCATTATACACAGAATAGTCCAATGACACCTTTGGCAGCATAATGATGCGAATGGAGCACCGACAGGAAACAGCCCCACAAATTGGGACATAAGTGAAGCCTTCTGCCTTCGGCTAAATAGCCCTTACTGTAGAGATTGCATAGAGCTACCGTCGTAATGCTTCTTGCTCTTTCCTTGGTATGAAGTGGTATCGCACATTTGGTTTGACAGCTATGTGTGTGCAGACAAGAGCCCAGACGCCCATGCGATGCTGTCATTAGTTAAGCGGATGACCACTAAGTGTTTGCTTCTGGCACGGTTTCACAGCACTTTTGGAAGAATGGGTGAGGAAGCTTAGCATAGTAGCATTATTTCTTCGATGTTCGACCACCTCAACGAACAGATGATGCACAATCAAATTAGCTATTAATGTCACTTTCTAATGTTAGTGCTTGCCAATGGCAACAAGTGCACAAAAACTGCCTCTACCTCCTCCATAAAGGAAATTCCAATTTATAGAAAAGGATTAATGGTCGATTTTCAACACATCGCCACCCTGACTCCTTTCGCCCAACAATAAACAAAATGGATGGAAGCACATCGAAATCCTCGTAGAATTGTATTTGTATTTGTTATTTCAAGGACCAAAAGTAAAAAACGGTCTGGTAGGCAGAATTTGACATTAAGCATGACACCAATGCAGCAATCCGTTCACCGTTCAGATACCGAGACACGCCAAATTTGAGCTCTCAACAGCCCATACATTTATGACCCTTATTCCATTCTCACATATATGGCGCAAAAAAACTAGAAAAAATTAGGTTGGAAATTTGTAATGTCATATTATAATTAGAGCTCTGACAGTCGACGTATAGGAGGCTGTAAAGCTTATACCTCTTTTCTCTGACTTGTCTCCAATGCTAAAATATTCAAGGCTACACGCGGATAGTGCGACCGTCACCACAGCTACTCAGTCACAAGATTACAATTGGCCGTGGTGATCGTAGACAACTGCCATTAGAAATTAATAAACACTGAGCCACTTCTGTATTTGCGAAAAACAGGGATTTCGGTGCGCCTAACTTCAGAGAGATTCCGTCTCTCCCCCAAAAGAAGATAAGTAATTTGCAACTCAGTAAGGACCCGAACATCTATGGTTGACTGAGACCTGTCCCAAAAGGGCACAAGGACTCAAGTTACACTGCCGTTCGAAAACTGCATCCTGAGAATGGCACAGAGTTCAACCTCCGAAGGCGCCTTAAGGTGCACCACTCAGTTGCACTAGAAAATTAACTGAACACACAAACTGAAAACAAATGAAAAGTAATAAGGAGTTCCATCGAAAGCTGCCCAAACATAGGAGCAAAGCAATAAACATTTCCAAATGAAACAAAACTACCTATCGAAAGGTTGCCAAAAAAATGCAAAATCGCCTATATCCCCCTACTGTTGGAGAAGGAGATAAATCCCAATTTAAAAGTACGCAGCGCCTGCGACGTGAAAGCAGTGCTACCTTAACCAGTCAACGGATTTGAAATCTAATCTACTATTTTAGTGCGCCCATACAGTACTAGGTAAGATCCTCATTTCGCTTGTTGAATCAGTCAGTACTCCAGGTCACAATCCTTCCCCATCGAGACAAGGTTGCAAGTCAAAAAAGTTATAAGTACTTAAAATAATCTTAAAGAAGTGAAGAGAACGATCTACATGGTGGTGTCTGCCTCTCACTTTTCTGCAGTGATTTTATAGCGGTTTAAGGTGCGAGCCATCGTGTTTTCGTACAAGGACTTTCGTCTCTGTACTTAGCTAGTGCTGGCTTTTGCTCGAAGATTTGCCTAAACAAGTTCTAGTTACATCAAAGAGACACACCTGTGATAAGTATCTAGCTTTCAGCAAATAAACAATTACAGTTGCAATTTAGTACCCCGAAGATTTTTTAAAGACAAAGTGGATCATTTGCGGCAAATATGTGCGCTTGTTTACCCACCACTGGAATGAGAAAGTCCCTCTTTATCAAAAGAATTTTGACAAATGATCAAAAAGCATGTGATTACAACGGGTAGGCGAAATTGGGAGAAATTCTGGACCCACCTCGAAACTACTTGCCGTGTTAGCTCATGAGTTCGCAAATTCATCATTCTGCCTCCCAGCACGCATTTATCTGCTTGTATAGATTTAACCAGGATCAAATACGATATGCTAATGCCAACAATGATATATAATTCCAAGTTCAAAAATAATATTATGTATTCATCTCTGTATGAATCATCAGTAGAATCAACGCGTCTAGCTACGTCCCACAAGGAAATCCTTCTACTTCGGCTCGTCCAAATACTACACGCAGCTCTGGAACTAAATTCGTTTCATAGTGTAACTTAGACAAGCTGGCATTACTAGTACTAGGATCCACACAAAACACACAATAATGCATTGCTCATTCGAGCAATCTTGCTACCTACCATTAAAGCAGTCGAATCTGACCTTCCACGGTCAGATAAACAAGCCTAATTTTTATGCACTATTGAGAACATCAAATCCACTCAATGGAGTCCCTTACTTGGAGAACCGTCCCAGATGGCCTTATTTACTCAGCAAAGATTCTAGCATATACTCATAAAACTAAACGAAGCTAAAGTACTCGCATTTCATTAACTGAGATGAAGCAAATTCTGAAACCAGTTACTAGATAGTTTCAAACTACTGATAACCCAGCCAATAAAAATGAGCATTACTATTACTGAAGTTCTCAATACCAATGGTTGTAGGCGAAAAAAAAATGCTAAATTGATGATAATTAATTATGAAAAGCCAAGAAAACCAATAGATCATTCAACTTCAAACATGCAGGAGCGTTGTGTTGCCCCATTTAACTTGCATTATCAGCAAAAACCAAATAAATATTTGAGGTAAACGCACTTGGTAACGATATTCTGATCCGGTATGAAATGAATTACATTCATAAATTATTTACTAATGGAAAATAGCACACAAGGTAACAAGAGCAGTTGTTTTTGGTAGCTTATTGCATAAAAAAATTTAAAATGCGATCGAACGAGGATACGAATCTTAATGATAGGATGCTGCATATACTTTGAAACTGAAAACTATTGTTAACATCAATGTAACAATTCAAATATTGAATAAGTTGTTCCAAAAGAAGCGTAACACCCCAAAAATTACGCCGCAATTAGCAAAATAAGGGAAAACTTACATAATCGGATGCTTGGTGGTAGACTTAGATAAACCATTTTCCTCCGCTTGGAAATATTTTGTAAGGAAGCCTTTTACAGCTCCTATATTTTCGCTTGAAAGTAAACAATCGTATTATCAGGGAGAATTCAAATAGGATCTAACCTGTCGAACAAAATCTGTCCAGCTTCCATTTTAACACCAAAATTTGAGCCTCCCGTAACATTGCTACGTAAAGTCACTGGAGCTTTCAATTTTAGGTCCAAAATAAGCTAAAAGACATAGAAATGTCTCAACCAAATAGAACTGATTCCCACATGCATAGTTATAATCAAAGCTCATTGTGACTAAGCGAATCGTCTGATGATCAAATGAAAATTTAAAAACGTCACAAATGATTAATCCAAAAACCAAAAAAACAAAAAACGCTAACCATTGTGAGTTCAATCACATCCGGTCCGTAAATTACTAGTCCATTCTCACTTTTCCTGGAAAAAATAAATGCTGAAAAATACCCACCACTCAGAAAGAAGCTGATCGAACTGGCTCTCATTAATCAAAAGTTCGCTAATAGCCTTTCGAAATGCAGTGGCATCACTTATTTTCTCAACTTGCGTCGGACGACTTCGTTTAGAAAAGAACTAGTAAAAACTAGGCTATGTAACATAAAGATACCAAAAATGTAGGAAACGAGGAAACGTCGTAGTGGTTACAAATAGCCTCATTATCCGCATCAGCACAATCTATTACGGCTAACTTAACAGCCCAGCTCCAATCTAAAGTAACACATAAAAATAAATTCACCTTCAACAGATGCACTAAGAGTTTTAAATGTTGGAGCGTAATTTTGACAAGAACCACAAGTGCTTAAATAAAATTGCACAAAGGTTGGCTGTATTTTGACAAATTCCGAGAAATTTGCTGCTGCCAGCACTGATATGCGACCATCACTTTCATAAATGCCAGATGACTTGACACAAAGAGTGAAATATGCAGTATACAAGTAGACAACAAATAAAACCAGCATAGCGCCCACCAAACAACCACCACGGATAACTACTCTTGAAACATTACCAAACGACCTTAAAAATCAATGCCACGCTCATGCGCATAAACACCAATGGATAAAATTAATGATCAACATCTGCTTACTTGGAGTTTACCTTAAACACTAATTTAGTTCTTTAACGAATAAGTTATTATGTCCAGTTCAGCTAACTTATCTTTTAAATGAGTCTCCTGCCTTTCCATTCACATATAAATGGTGTTAAAAAGGTACACACACGAACCACTCTCACAAATCATCAATTCTCAGGCATCTGAAGTGAAATACTGCACCGCAGTGTAACTGCTCTCTCTCAGCAGCTCCAACCGCATCTGCAGTTTCGTTCGCCTAGCCACCAGTCAAACGTTGGAACAGTGGGCTAAAGACAAATCTGTACTAAGGAGTAGGAAGTAGGAGTAGTCCTGCATCGGTAGAGGTTAGCGTACTTTTACATTTTTTGACACCCATACGCAGATGCGGTGGTGAAATCTGCAAAGCAAGACTTTCCCGAACGGTTCACTGTAAATGCCGCCTCGGTTGTTAGCTGATTACATTGTCGAAGACGGAAATGTAGTGGACGTGGAAGGAGGACGTGGTTTACAGACCTTCTGCTGTAAAAGGAGGAGGGATGCTTTCACTTGTAGTGCTACATGTAGTGCTTTGTTTATGTGACGGTGGCGGTCACTTTAGAATTTGTCTGGCACCTGGCTTTCGGGTCACGTTCAGGCCCTATTTCTCCTGTTGTCTTCAGAATACATGTATTCAATCTCACTTATGCCTTCTTTCACCCTATGGAAAGCCCTGGCACAATGTGCTGCACTTAATTCCCACTACGAGAACTTGTCTCAAAATGTTGGTGACAAGGATAGAGGAGGTTTTGGAGTGGGTTTCGCTTCGCAGAGAGTTGGGACTTCTTCATAAGTAGTAGGATGTATAATGCTGGAGTAGAAAATCCGTAATTGATAAAAGGAAAGGGGAAGGCGGCTAGTGTCTTTGTTCGGAGACCAGCTTAGCGTCCTTAGACTTCCTAGTCGGTAAGTGCAATTGGATATGCGTATTCCGAATAAGACATGGCAAATGAGAATGAGCCTAAAGGCTAACCCGCGTACATAAGAGACAGACAAATCCTAAAGAGACCGCCAAACATCAGGTAGTCACATAAGCAAAGCATTATATTATCCCCTTTTATTTTGAGAGCCGTTTACGCCGGTCTTTGTGCATGCATCCCGCGCCTCCTCCTCCGATTTTTACTAACTCGAGCGGTTATCCAGGCTGCCCGAAATCTTGGTATTGATTGTATCATAGCACCGTACGAGTCGGATGCTCAGTTGGCCTACCTAGTTAAGTCTGGCTATGCTGATCTCGTGATTACTGAAGATTCGGATCTTCTATTGTTTGGCTGCAAACAGGTTTGTTCCTAAGTTATTTTCTGGGCTGCCATAACGATTCCTGTTTGGGGTATTTTATCCTTTAGGTTATTTTTAAACTCGACTTAACAGGATCTGGAACTTTAATTGCATGGAGCGCAGGTATTGGTGAGAAGTGTTGTGGCATAGCGTCACAAGAATTTTCACCTGCTAATCTGCGTTTCATGGGGATACTTTCTGGATGTGACTACTTTCCTGGCATTCCCAGGATTGGTCTTGCTACCGCTGCAAAAGTGAGTGTTTTGGCGCTTAATCAACTTAAATGCAGTTTTGAAGTGATCCACTTTTCTTTTGAATTTGGTTCTGTTTGGCGTTCTCCATTACTATGTAGATAATGCGTCAGTGTCGTACTGCGGATTTTCGATACATTCTCCTTAACCTCGGGAAGTTT